TTATCCTGAAATAGGCCTGACTCAGCCTGCCCAGCCCTGCCCTGCCATGCCTTCCTGGGTCACCTTCCCACTCCAAGACTCAGTTTCTCTACTCGCTTTAGTGGTACGAAGAAAAGATGGATCTCCAAGTACTTCACTCTCCAGTCTGAAACCCAGCTGCTGCTTGGGAGCATACCGCCTACTAGAAGGAAGCCTCATTAAAGCCAATTAGAGGAGGGCTGCAGCCAGCAAGTCACAGACAAGAAGCCATGCGGGCCACTCCACAGGCTCTGTTCAGGCGTGTGGGTGTTCTTCTGAGAGTCCCTGCACCCCAGGAATACCAGCTTTCCCTCCCTCCCTGAGGCTGAAAACAGGGTTGTAGAGCTATGAAGGTGACATTGACAGGACTGCCCTGTGTGACTCTTGGAGAATATGAAGATGGATGGGAATGAAGAAGAGAACTGGCATTCACTGGACACAGCCTGTCACCACATACCCTGGGACCACATAACACGCTGAGGGAGGGACTACTCATGCTCTCTTACAGATCTCACCTGGACTTTGACAAGCAGGTGTCAGTCTTACTGAGATCAGCCCAATACAGAAGTGAGGAACTCTCAGGAGTTGCCAGAGACAAGACAGACTGGGCTTGGACCTGAGCCTGCCTGACACTGAAGCCAACCCTCCCCACATTCCACATGGAGTGTACCCTGGAAGTGTCTGGGGTGTACCCGTCCTGTCTGGGGGCCTGTCCATCGGGGGTCAGCTGCAAACCCTTGGTAGTGCCCAAGTGGAAGGCAATCTAGGGCCTCTCCCAGGCCATAGGGTGACCTTCAGTTTCAGGATGGCCTTTCAAACTACCATGACCTATAGCTCCACGGAATCAAGTCCAGACCCAGCCATCCCAAAGACCCAAAGCTCCATCCCATTCTATGCTTTGGATGGCCTTTCAAACTATCATGACCTATAGCTCCACGGAATCAAGTCCAGACCCAGCCATCCCAAAGACCCAAAGCTCCATCCCATTCTGTGCTTTGGTCTCATCTGCAATATGAGCAGGCACAGGGTCCCATCCTGGAATAGCAGAAGGGCTCCTTCTACAGGGCACATATCAACTCTCCATTAAGGTGCAGGTGCTTGCCATGGGGTGGGGAGTCTTGGAGAAGTCTGGAGCCAACACCTGGGATTATGCTATCTGATGGCTCCCACCCCAACAGGTGCGGCCTGCCCCAAGGCGGGAGCTGCCACAGCAGGCAGAAGGCAGCTCCTGGCCCACAGAAGCCTCTGTGTTGGGGGCTATTTTGGTGCAGTCATGTGCCATGGAATAAATAGGACATGTCCTGAGGCATATACTGTTAGATGTTGTCTGCAGACGTCAGTATGCTCACAAACTTGGACAGCAATGACAGCACTAGATGGCATACATGCACTCACAATACTGTGAAAAGCATGCAGGTCAATGTTGACTAAACCTTCACGATGTGGTGTGTGGCTAGACTGCAGTGCTGAGAGATATGGTTCCCCAGGGGGACTAGGCATAGCTGTCGCTTTCCATTTCAGGTTTAACATGGTCAGCTTTCCTCTACCTCTGGAAGTCTAAGGACCCAGGAGCCTGTGAACATGCTTTCACTGCCCTGAGCCAAGCAGGCAGGGAACAAGGCCTAATGGGCCCATTATGAGATGTGGTTGCATAGAGCCTGAAGCCCAGATCCTCCAGTTCTGTTTTGAGGCTTTGAGCCCCACCAAACCTTGGATTCCTTCTGTGGACAATGGAGGCAACACCCACTTTATGGAGCTGTAGTAAGGATTGCACAGAGCAGGTAAAATGCCTGTTCAGCATTTGGCATATAGTTAGTATTTAATAAATGCCTCATTAATCTGCCTTTATTCTCTGAAGCCAAGTGGCAGGCCAGGACTCCAGGGTGTGAAGGCAGGGGTCTCGCAGGAGGGACGTGGGGTCAAGTGTGCATCATGAAATTGGCTCCACTTTCTTCCTGCTGTGCCCTGGGCACAAAACACAATTTCTCTGGGTCTCCTTTCCTAAGCCCTGGCTAGAAGACATAAATCTGGACCTAGATGAGGGCCAGCTCTTGACACCTGGGCTTCCTTCTGTAAATTCCATAGTAACTTGGGGAAGATATGACTCATGATGCCCATGGGGCTAGTCAGGGGAATCTAGAGGTTAGTCCTTGTTGGGGTGGGCAATGGGATCTGCTGGAAGATCCTCTGACTGAGACCCAACCCCACCCAGCCTCACCCTCTGGAGGCTACACTTGCTCTCATCCCTCCCAGGCGTGATGCTACAAGCCTCTGGTATGCACCTAAAGCCCAGGGGAGGTTCCTCCCAGCCTAAGGCTGGAAGATGACTGGGGAGGGCAGGCAGGGGCTAACTCAGAGGGGAGCTCACTGCAACTGGACAGCAGTGCAGAGCATGATCTCAGGGTCACACAACCAAAAGAGTATGATGTGGGACGCTACAACTCTCTGTCCTTAATGAGTCTACCATACTGGGCAGCAGGTGGCAGACCAAGGGGACCCTCCACAGTCTTCAATGCCTGTACCCACCTCACAGACAGAGTGGCAAGGGCCCAGGGAGGAGCCAGGGCTGGTCCAGTCTCACAGAGAGGCGGCATTAGGGTCTGCTCCCACACTCCAGTGCCTTGCTAGTCCAGACCATTTCAGTCTGCAGGGAAGGGAGGATGCAGCAGAGTAACCCTGGCAGGGACACGGCCACTAGGGGAGGCTGAGGTGGCTTGAGCTGAGTGTGCGCTGTGTCATTTCCTTGCCCCAGGGTCTGTCAGTTGTGCTGACTACTGGCAGGGTGACTCAATGAAAGCAGCCATGCTGCAGAAGCCCCCATGGAAAAGGGCTAATCAGCAACCCTCCCCACCCCACCCTAGGAAGCTGGGGTTCCCCTAGCACCGGCATTGGGTGAAAAGGGGAGGTGGGTGACAGGGGCAAGAGGTGACTCACGGTGAGAGATAAGACAGAAGAGCTCCTACAGGGAGGAGCAAGGAGAGGGCGGGCAAAGCGCTCTGTCAGCACCCATCGGCGTCTGGGCCTGCCCCAGGAGGCTGGGAAGCAGCAATAAGGAGGAAAAGACTCAGGCCGCCTAGGTCAGCTGCCTCTCCCAGGTTCTACTTGTCACTGTTCTGCTACCAGGTACCACACCAGGGCAGGTCCTGGAGTACAACAGGCCTAAGTGATCTTGAGCAGGGAGGACTAATCAGTCTGGCCTCAGTTTCTACATGTGAAAAAAGAGGCAGATAACACTACCTGAGATTATAAAGTGCTCGCACTCCATTGAAGCTATTATTATAGCCTTCCCACGATTGTGTGGGCCACAGGACAGAGATGGGGGAACAAGGACTCACACAGGTCCATAGGGAGGGGCCTAGCTCAAGATAGCACAGTAGGGCTGACAAATCCTTGATCTCTGTAAGATGGACATGGTCTCTGTCAACTCTGAGGACCCCCCAGGGACTCCCTGTTGTGGGGAACAGGATTCAAGTATAGGAGACAAAAGGCAGTGCCTCCCCATGATAGGCAGTTGGAAGTCACATTAAGTTGGGACTAACATTAAGACCAATGTCTTCCTGACTGTCATCTTGACAGGTGACACCAATAACCTTGGAGAAGTGGGAATTGATGGATATGAACAGGAAGTCCTAAGAGCACAATGTGGCCCCAGGCACCCCTGTCTGTCTCTATCACTGGCTGGCCCTATGTCATTCTGTCTGCAGAAGATTAGAGCCTATAGCTGTTTCCAGGCCAAGCTGGAAAGTGGCAGCTGCCTCCTACCTGCTGTGAGAGCTCTGGCACAGCAGGTCAGGCCCCATTCAGAATCTTTATTCCTCCTCTCAAGGGACTGGGCCCTGCCACAAGTGGAAGTCACCCCAGGCCCTTTTAGGGGCAACAGATTCTCAGCTATTGTCAAGTGTCCAGAACATTATTCAGTCCTTCCTCATTCCTGTTACCCAATACTCCATCATCACAATGGCCAGAGATGCAGTGTGTATCTGTAGACTAGAAGCCCTCAGCTAGTGGCCCTGTGGACAGAGCCTCCATCCTGCTGGAAACCAGCCTGGCCACCTTCTCAGTTGCTGACCTACTTCTGGTCTCTCTGCCCAAGAGCTCCCCAGGACCTGTGGGCCAGGACAGTCCCCAGGGTGAACAGCCTGGCATGTACGCTGACTGCTCCATTCTGGACCTGAACAGTGAAGGGGGTCAGACCCAGCTAGGAACACTCTCACTACCCCCAGACCAGCTCCAGATAGAACATTTTGCTGGACTACCTTGCCTGTCAAACCAGGCACGCCTCCACTCAGTCACGGCCACCCAGTTATGGTTTGGCTGTGTGTATAAGCAATGTACACATTGCTTCCTCAGGATGTGTGTCAGTGTGTCAGTGTGGAGCAGTCACCCACAGCCAGAGCACTGTGTAGCCCAGCAGGTGTCAGGTAAGGGGATCCAGACAAGATCTCAGAAGCCTCCTAATGACAGACCACTACCCAAGTAGACATTGTCACTTCTTCCACTGGTGGGAACCTTCAACAGGTGGCACCTCGTTCATTCAGACACCCTGGCCTGGGCAACGGCTGCTACTGCAAGCGAAGCTGAGCAGCTCGTGGCCAGCCAGCCACTCAGCACAGCTAGGAAGCAGGCAGATTTTCTCAGGGCCCCAGATCAGCATCCACGCCTCTCCCCCAGACTCCTTCCAGCAAGTTCACGTATGTGTGCGAGCTTCTGTCTTGTAGCAGATCAGAGGCAAGAAAGAGTGGGCGAGAGAGAAAGCCCAGATTCCTCCCACCCCACTCATGCATCACAATTCCAGGAGTTCAGAAACACTCCAGTAGGGCACGGAAGCCCTTTGAGTCTGGAAGCCTAGGCTACCTGCTAGAGGGGGTGGGTATTCGGCTGCTGCCCGCTGAAGGAGGCAACCAAGAGGCCAGTCAGTGGTCCCAAAGCCATCTGGGTCCCCATGCGTGCTGGGCGAATGGGGTCCCGCCTTGGCGCCTCACCTTCTGCGCCTGGCTGATCATCTTGCGCACCACTTCCTTGATGTGAGGCTGTCCGTCGATGGGTGGCTGCATGTAGACACTGGCCCGGGTCACACCTCTGTAGGCGATGGTGTCAGGCCAGCCCAGGTCCAGCTGCGGGATGGAGCGGTCCGACTTCTGGGGCCAGTACTCCAGCGAGGGCAAGGGCTCGGCCGTGGCTGGGGGCCCTCCCGCCGCGCTGGCATCCTCGCTGGCATCCACGCCTCCGTTTTCCTGGAGCTCGGGACGGCGACCCGAGCCCCGCAGGTCCTCAGAGCCCGGGTCGTACACCTCGATGGTCTCCACGATGCGCGCGAGCTCCAGCTCGGACAGAAAGTCGCGGATGTTCTCGCGCTTCAGCACCTCGTAGAAGGCGTCGCGACCACGGGCCACCAGGGCCTCCAGGGCCAGCCGCTGCTCCTCGCTGTAGAAGAACTCGGGCTTCGACTCGCTGGAACGCCAGTTCACGTGGTTGTCGTCCAGACACTGCACCTGGGAGAAGGCCATGGCGGCCCTCGCTGTGGGAACGCGGCCCGACGGGCACGGCGCTCTCGGGCTTCACGGCCTCAGCGCCTCTGCGAACCCCACCTGAGGGAACCAGCAGAAGACCGCGGGCGGGGTCAGAGGGCGGACGGGGTGGGCGGGGCGTGGGGAGGGAGCCCGACTGACTGTCCAGGGCCGCGGTGCACCTCTGCTTCTTGGGATCCGCCTGAGATTCGCCGAGCCCTGGCAGTAAGCTGGGGCTGCCAGGGAACCCCGCCCCAGTTTGGAGTAAGAGCAGGGGCGCAAGCCCGGGTCGGGTTTCTGGAAGGACGGCTCACAAACCCGGAGGCCTGCCCGGAGGAGGGTGTCGCTTACCGGGCAGGAGACGCGAGGGACGACAGGCAGTGGTGGTGGCAGCGGGCTGGACGGCCGGTGACTAAGGGCGGTCCTGCCCAACCCTCCGCTCTCACCTGGGGTCACGTGTGTCCCTGGGGGCGGGGCCGGAAGCTGATTCATCTCCCTTAGACTGAGCAAGGCTGGACAGTTTGCTGCCTCAGGCCGCACAGAAGCCTTCCTCCTCCCCCAGTTCTGCTGCCGATCCTGATCTAGCCCTAGCCCAGTTCTGTCTTTTTGCACGTGGGATGCTCAGTCCAGTTGTTGAGGGCTGGGTCATGGGCTGAGGCCCCTCTCCAACTTCCGCTACTTCCACCCTCTTGATGTGTGCAGAGCGGGTGTAGATCAATCAGTACTGAGCCCTGCTGCCTGCTGAGAGTCCCACCTGTTGCGACCTGGTGCATACCACTTGCATAAGCCCTGTGACAGGGAAGGGTGGAGAGGACCAGGCTGTGCTCAGACCCAGCTCTTGGCTAGGTATACCCCAGCAATGGAGAACGTTGGGTCCACATCTGAGGGCAGGGTGTCAGGGGCTATTTGGCAAAACCCATTAAACCCTGTATACAGCTTTGTCATACGTATGGATTTGTGTAAAGCTTCTTCCCTGAAGAAGGCTCCAGGTCAACCCACCCATCAGCTCTGAGCCAAGATGGAGCTGGTTTGAGTCCCAGTGAACCCTGGCCTTGTCCAACTGAGGACTGTCTCGTGGCATCCTTGTGTCCCTTCAGACACATTGCATTGCCACTGTCCATTATCCTGTGAGCCCTCCCAGGCCACATCATTGATCCCCAGGCCCAAGCCTTGCACCCCTAACCTTTGGGCCCTCATCCACAGCAGGTCTTGCATCATGTGAACACTGTGTTTCCATACCTGCTTGTACCCTTTTCCCCTCTGGGTACCTGAATCACCCCCTCACCTCTGATTCCCAAGGAGCAGAGAGAGGCAGTGCTGTGAGTCTTGGACTCCCTGCAAAACTGTGCTGGTCTTCAGTTTATTCTCTTGTTCTTACCGCTGCAGAGTTCCTGGTTTCATTAAGGAACCTGGTCCTCAGGTTGGAAGGCTCTTTATCTGTCTTACTCTTGGTCAAATCACAAGAACTTGTAAAAAAAAAAAAAAGTGAACAGGGGGGTTGTTGGTACTTTTGGCCACCCCCCACACAGTGGTATATCACCTGACATAACTGTGTGGGTCGGAAAAGATTCTGGTGTCATACATACTCACACCAGAGCTCATTAGTACCTGAGTGCGCATGTGTGCAGGGGGAGGGGGTGGTATATATCTTTGTCATATGTATGGATTTGTGTTATGACCTTACCATCAAGATGTAATTGCAGGGCTTGGGATGTTGGGGCAGGAGGATGAAAGGATTGCCGGCTCGAGGCTAGCCTGGAATAACAGAACTATACCACTGCAGAGACCTTACTCGTTAGAACTAGGCATCCAGGTTCCCATCCTAACCCTGGATGCCATTTTCTGTCTCCTGGTCCTGCGAAAATGACAATGTCTTTAGCAAACTTCCAGAGTGCAGCCTAGAACTCTGGGCCATCTCTAGCCCCACCAACAATGAGAATGTCTCTCATCTGGCCAACACATTTGCATAATTGTATACTATTTTATTATTTATTTATTTTGTACTGCAGGGATGGAGCCTAGCTTTTCATGCAAACACTTTACACCTCGGTAGTCTTTTTTTAGCTTGCATGTTATGGAACTAGCCCTGTAGACCAGGCTGGCCTCAAACTCAGAGAGACCCACCTGCCTTTGCTTCCCAAGCGCTGAGATTAAAGGCATTTGCCATCACTGCCCAGCCTCAGTAGTTTTATTGTGTTATACACTGTACTCTTGAGGGCTTTTGTTGATGTCTTAGAGTTCCTACTGCTCTGATGAAACACCGTGACCAATTACAGCTTGGGAAGGAAAGGGTTTATTTCCTTATACTTCCAAGTAACAGTTCATCCTCCAGGAAAGTCAGGGCAGGAACTTGAAGCAAGAACTGGGAAACAGGAACTGAAGCAGAAGTCATGGAAAAGTGTTGTGGCCCCAGTCCCAATGGACTGAGCCTTCCCCCATCAATCACTATTTAAAAAGATGCCCTGCAGGCTTGCCTACAGCCTGATCCTATGGAGACATTTTCTCAATTGATGTCCCTCTTCTCACATGATTCTAACTTCTGTCAAACTGACATAAAACTAGCCAGGACAGTCACGAGCCTATCAGGTGTTTGTTCGCCACGTGTATGTCCTCGGTGGGGTTCTTTTTGTAGCTCTCCCAACTTCTTGATGGATCCCTTTCTTTTTCTGAGTCTCCAGCACTCTTTATATATTGTAGATGCTGATTCTTTGTTTGACATGCGGAGGGTGTGTGTCTTTCCCAGTCTGCAGCGTGTCTCTCCATCCTCTTTACAGGTATCACACTGATCAGAAGTTGTGCGTTGTGCGTTTTCATAGTGTCACACTTCATCGGTTCATCACAGGTCATGCATGCTTTTGGTGCAGCATCACTTTTGACCTAGTCACAAACAATTAAAATCTGTGATCCGTTGGATGGTGGTGGCACATACCTTTAATCCCAGCACTTGGGAGGCAGAGGCAGGGCAGATCTCTGTGAGTTTGAGGCCAGCCTGGTCTACAAAGCCAGTTCCAGGACAGCTAGGACTGTTACACAGACAAACCCTGTCTCAAAAAAAAAAAAAAAAAAAAAGAAAAAAGAAAAGAAAAGAAAAGAAAAAAAAATCTGTGATGCGCCTGATGGAATGTAGCAAGGACCTTAATTGCCCGTTAAGGCAGTGCGTCCCTTAGGAGAGGGTCAACAAATTGGGCAGTATTTGCAATATGTTGGCTGTTCTAGACATGGCTGAAACCCAGGATTCTCCCAGAGACCCCCCACAGCCTTAGTGTGATGGGGAACAGGGCTGACAGAAGTTTTAAGGTAACTGATGCCAGACCTGGGGGAAGCCAATCATCTGTGAGATGAGGAATGACTTTAAATTCCTTGGGTTTATGAGGAGGGAGGGGTTTCCTTTCCAAGGAAAGGGTACAGCAAAGATGCCTGTGAAAGCCTGGGTGCTGCCTGTGGGGGAGAGGAGATGAAGGTGGTCAAAGGGCCAAGGTTTGGCACAATCTGAGCCTTGTGACCCTCTGTGGAATATGGGCACCTCCCAGGATGGTGAGCAGGACAGACCACAGGCAGACTGGTAGACAGATGGGCGGTGAGGAAGTGGCATCCTGTTACTAGGAACCAGGCAGTACTTGGCAGTGACCGTGGGGAAGGAGGATGTGAGGTAGAGAGAGGGGCCCCAGGCTCAGGTACCCTGGTAAAGCCAGAGCCTGGCAGGAGCCCCCTGGTCTCTGCTGCTGTCCAGCCTCATGTGTCTAGGACAGAACTCACGTGAGGAGTCTGGGTCAGGCATAGTGAATTTGGGGGATCCCCTCACCTGGCTTTAAGAGTCATTAAGCTGGGATCTGTTCCCCCAGCAGGGCTGGGCCCAGGATGAATATTGGTCTCTAAGATTCTGGGCCATGAGGTCTCAGGAGCCTTCCTCAGAGTCCCAGACTCTGGGTCTGTCTTCCTCAGGACTATAAAATGCCCTGGTTAGGTTGGAGAAAGTACCTGAACTGTGTATGGCTCTTCTTGGAGACCTTTCTCGCTTCTCTTCCTCAATCCTCCTCCCTTCTCTCACTTACTCATTCCTTCGTTCAGCAAAAGTTCAGATTGTTTCCTCGGGCCCAGCCCTGGGCTGGGCCATGCCTGGAACTTGGGATGATTCAAACTGGTGTCTGCCCCTGGGGTGCTCCAGGGCTGGTGAGGAAGGTGGCAGAGTAAACAAACAACAGGAACTGATCCTGGGCCTCAGGAGCTCTAGGCAGGTGGACAGGTAGGGGCAGTCAGGAGCCTCAGAGGAGGAGCAGGAGATAAGCAAAGGTGGCCATGGGTGTCAACAGGACAACAGCACAGCACACAAGGGAGGAAGGCCTGTGTCTTCAGAGACATGGAAGCATCCAAGTGCTGGATGTGTACAAAGAAGCACAAGCAAATAAGATGGTCCTGGGTCCTGGGATGCTAGACAGAGGTTATGGGACCAGCCACCCAATGGGCTATGCCATATGTGACCTGCCACTGAGTAGGCAGGAAAGCTGGGTACAGGCCTCCCTTCTCCTGCTTCTACTTCCCACATTAAGGAGGATGTTCAGACTGGCGATGGGTGGGTGGGTGTAGAGGCAACAAGCACCTGCTCAGGGTCACAGGTAGGGCATGCCACCAGTAATCCCTGGCTTGGAGCTGGGAGTAAGAAACAACCAGATGAGGGCCAGGGATGGCGGTAGGAGTAGGGAGAAGAAACAGGAGCCAGAGCCCCAAGGACTAGCTCTGGGGAACAGGTAAGGAATCAGAAGGGCCACCAAGCAAGCAGTTCAGGCTAGCCGTGTGTGTGTGTGTGTGTGTGTGTGTGATGCACCGGTATTATTTCTCACAGATGATGTGGGCTGTGTGGTGCCATCCGAGTGTCTGCGAGCCTGTGGGGCTGAGATTGGCTGCTCCAACATTGCCTACCCAAAGCTGGTCATGGAGCTGATGCCCACAGGTGAGTCCCTATATCATATACCGGTGAAAGGTCCTGGTGAATGAGGGTTGGAATTTGGAGGACTGCTCTGGCTCCTATATGAGTCGCTGTGCCACCCGATTGGCCAGATAGAAGACCGTTTAAGTAAAAACTCAGGTTTCCCACATGTCAGTTCTGTTTTCT